ACTTTAGCACATCTTGACTAAATTTATTATTTATACACGCAATAACTATATAATTCAGAATTCCTGCTATTGACCACATACAATTTACGATTTGTATTAAATTATTAATTAAATGTTGCATGACGTTAATTAAATGTTGTATGACCCATGCACAACTAGCCACGTTTGATTCTCAAAGCTCACTTTTCCATGTTACTCGTTAATTTTAATATCGAGAGTTATTAGTTGTGCATTTAGCAAAAAGTTTGCTTGTCAATACACAGTTTATCATCGGGATACATTTGTTTGCATGTTCGTGTCAACGATCAGATAAAGATCACGTTTCACATTACATTTATTCCGACTGCCGTTATAAACCTAGCAAGCTGTTCATACTCAAGAGAGTTTAAATTACAAAATCAAGTTATGACCGACTGGCCCCTACACATAATCCATTTGTTATATGTATCTACGTACCATCTTTATGTGCAGGGTATTATCATCTTTTTCGAATAATAGTACCTGGTACTTGCCGCGACTCCCTCTTTACATCAAGGTGTTTACATCAAATACAGTTACGATTCTTGCACTGAGTCAGTCAGTAAAATATGGCCATTTATACTGATAGAACAAAGTTATTATAAACAACAGTTTCTATTATTAGTACCGTAAGTTCAGTAATTTACAACTGTATAAATGTTATCAATAATAAACTTATAGTTAATATATATTATTTGATTTACATTTAATTTATATTAGGTATATATAAAAATAAATTGTCTTGCATAGTACATTTCTAAAAAATAGATTAAATAAAAGCTGTATGAATAGTTTCTTGAGTTATTATGAGAATAATTTCGCGAGCCATTAGATTTCTAAATATAAACTTATTTATATTCGTTAGAAAAAGAAATGTAATATTGCTAATTGAAAAGTTGTAAGAAAATCGCTTAAATACTTTTTGATTGAAAGAAAACAGACATATAGAAACATTTTTATATAAAAATAAGTCATGTTATTTTTACGGGATGTAAAAATAACATCCTGTTAAAAACAATACATAACTCAAAATAATGGCTTCGAATAATAATGCAAGTGTTATTTATCCAAATGTATTGGTATCATTGGATTAAATAAAATAATGTGCATGGCACATATTTTTCGGATTTACCGACAACACGCGTGATGCGCGAACGAGACATACTAATCGAGTATCTAATCGAACCGTGTATTAGATAAGGTCGTCGGGGGAAAAATAACGCTGACTAATGAAGAGACATTAAATCGACCTGTGCAAAAAAAAAATATTCCCCTCTCGCCTCTGACACGTCGGAAATAGCTGGTGCGACCGAAATGTTCGCTGGCTCGTGAAACGTGCGGACGCGTCGAACCGTTCCAATGACGAATATTTACCGCCATTCGCTTTTCGGTGTCGAGCGTTTATCAAAATTCGACATCTTTCCTGGATTAATGACGTGCCTGATGCACCGCCCACCGCGGTTTGCTAATTAATAATAATCAGTGACGTTTGCAAGCGACTGCGTGGTCGATAGTTGTATGGAAGGTCTATCAGAGATATAGTTTCCGACGAGGGAAAATTTATCGGGGTATAAAATGAAACCAGAAACAGATGCAGGCCGACAAATGAGTGTAATATACAAAATGAGTCGTATGGGAATAAGAGCGAGATAAATGCTTTTTAGCAGAAGGCAGTGGATAGAGATGGAAGTATTAGCTTCTCGAGGTAAAAGCACGAGATAGAAGCTGCTTCTGAAGCACACGCTAGTCATGAATAATCTTTCTCATTTATCACCAAGCATATCCTAAAATTAATTGCTTGTAAATGTCGTCCTAATAAAAAAAAAAGATGCCTGGTATGTTTTTACGTATGTTTTTTTTATTCTTTCACAGAATTTTTTTCAATTTTTTACTGAATAGAAAAATGCCATTGCCTCAAGGGAATACTCTATAACTTTACTTATTTCTTAAAGCGCACGCTTCGATAAGTATGAACTGGTTTATTCATATGCTCCATTTTAATCATACAAATCAATACTCTTCAGCATCTCTTTCGTTGAATTCTTTATAATGGTAATAGTACGCCGTTCTGAGCGTGATCATATTTTTACCTCATTTGTAACGAAGCAGCAAAATAACTTTTTAATGAATCACTTCGTTATACAATCGCCTTCTTTCTAATTTTCTATAATATCGCGAAGTTACACATCATCTTTAATAAAATATTTATTACAACGATTAGATAATAGTTTCTATGTAATTCGTTGCATTTGTGCCGTCACTACAACAGTATCAGTATCAAAAAAGGCGGTGATGTGCACTCCCCTTGTATCAAATTTTATCTTTATAGTTGGTTGTGAAATTCTGTAATTATTGAACGCCGCGATATTAAAGCACCGTAAACACATTGGCTAAAGGACCTGGATATTTTTGAGCTATAACCGCGCACGAGGCAAGCGTGATCCAAATTGCCGTTGTCCTAAAGTTAGCCTAAAATATTTAAGAATTTACGGATGAACAAAATCTATGATTTACATAGGCTACCCTATATGAAAGATGCAAACTAGAACTAATTACAGGGACTTAATATTAAATGTCTATTAATTAACATTGATATAATTTATTATATAATATCGGAATATTGTGTACTCAGAGGCAAATTAAACACAAATAATATTGATTATTATTAACCAATATAACTTATTTAGAATGGTCATAAAGAACAATTAATACATATGTAGAAGTGATGCATGTATTCGGAATTTCATTGATAATTTAATAATGAATTAAACAGACCCGATATATATTTAAATTTTCACGTGTGTATATGAGCCATGTGTAAGTAAATCTATTGAGATATTTAAAATAAAATTATTATGTGTCATATCGCAAAATTGATTTAGGCCCGGTTGCACCAATGTCGCTTAACTTTAACTCTAGCTCAACTCACTATCTGTCTCTTTCTGTTTCTCTCAGAAAGAGACAAAGAGTAAATTGAGCTAAAGTGAAAGTTCAGTGACGTTGGTGCAACCGGGCCTTAATGGCGTGACAAAAGATTGGGTCTCTATTCCTGGCCAGCTAGTCGATTATATTGTCAACCGATATTTTCCCTTAATGGAATCATAAAGGGTAATATTCTTTTCGCGATGGCGCGAGAACCGCCACTGCGAGTGTACGATGTCTAAGCGTTTGTAACTGAACATTCAGAAGATTATCTTTTGGCAACCGATTTCGCCAACGACTTTCGTGCTTATCTCCATTATCCAAGAGCTCGTCGAGGTAAGTTGTCAATGGATATAAAGGTCGAGCTCCTCGTTCTGCAGCGAGGTACGCGAGGGCTCGTTCGACTTGCTCGCCGACCAAGATTCTCGCTCAAATCCCCCTTGCCCCGCGACAAGGTGGTAATCGTTGAACGTCAAAATCCTCTCAAATCGTGCTCGGAGTTCGCGCATGGAGTGAATATTCAGCCGTGTAAGGACTCGTCAAGACGATGAAATTGTAAAAAATACGCTCTCACATGCTAGAGAGGACTAATATTCGTACAAATTGAGGCCAATGCTATTATTAATTTGCACTTATATACAGTGACATGTCGAAATATGTAAACTATTTGAAATTTTTTAAACACACGCTTAACAAATTGCAAGATATATTATATTGGAATTTATTAGTAGAAATATATTATTTATCAATTATAATAATCACATTATGCGCGTTTCAAATTTTTGAAGGCAGATTTGCAAATTTACAATTGCTTTTAAAGAAATTAATTTGCTATGTTACAAAAAGCCGTAGATCGAAGTACACACAACAAGGACAATCTAATGCTCAAAGTTCAAGCGGAGTTCAAGCACGGATGATGTTGCTACCCCTTTAATGGGAATTTCAATTTCGCACGTTTCAGTTGTTTCACTAGAAAATGGTTGCTCTAAAACGTTCGTTTTTCGCTTCGTTTGAACGCGAGGTATTTTGTCATTGCGCGTTATACGCGAATCGCGCTTTCGTTTAATCGTTGGCGACATTTATCCGCAATTGCGCGACCAACAACGGAACGACAAACGGTGAGCTGAACGCTGATATTTTTCCGTCAAGAAGATGCGAATCCTGTACGTCGGCGATGTTGATAAAAGAGGAAAGCGTACGTCGTCGACAAGTCGATACTGAGGTTTCGCGATTCTTTCGGGGAATCCTTAAAAAGATCTACACCATATTGTACGCAACGTTGTACATTTGATTTATCTTTATTTGTCGCGAGCAGAGAGAATATTTTTTACTCGAACAGGAATTTCATGCGGTCGCGTGAAATTCGAATCATCATTAATTGCTAACGATATTTTCGCGGCGCCCGCTATACGCGTTCTTTTGCTAGCTATGGTTAACCAAATACGCCACATATTGTTTTAACGACCAAGTGCGCGAATTCGAACGCCGGAATAATTTATAACATTTCCATCGAAACTGATCGTGCACGTGCAAGTGAACCCACCCATGAATTTTGTAGTTTCAATCAAGTTTAAATTTGTCCTGTGAATAAGTTCTCTTTAAAATAACTTTTTACATTAGACATTCGAATATCGGATCGGGCGCCCGAGTTTGCACGATTGATTAGCGGAACGTAAGTATATATACATTTGACTTTGCGATCTTCGTTGAGGAAAGTATCCCCACATTCCGCTGTGTGCTGTATTAAACTATACATTTTGTTCGACACGGTACCTCCGTTTCTATTGTATCTTATATTAAAGTACGCTTCGATGAATTTAATTACAAAACCGGAGAGCAGGTGTGCGAACATAAACATGGAGATCATGAGCATTACTAATCCAGATATATCCGCGGCATCGAATTCCGATTCTCGAGCAGACACTTGCGAAAAGATATAAGATTTATTCGTTTTTTTTCCCGCACCCTCGAATAATCGGGGATTACTTGAATTTATTTACGAATTCAGCGGTAACAAAGAATTCGCGTATCATACGAAATATATTTTGCTTGTATTTCAGATATCCTGCGAGTGGAGCGTTAAGACTACTCTCGTACGTATCAGTAGCTTCCAAATTGAACGATCCTGATTTATTCTCAATCTCCGCGAAACAGTCGTCGATTGATTGGACGGGGCTTTATAGCGTCATTTATAGCGATGAGAGAAACGTCCAAGATAAAACACCCTCATTTTTACATAAGGCGCAAGAAGACAAAAGACTCGTTTGGAGTAAAGGCAGCCGCCTTTAATCGCTTCGCTGAGCAAAGTGCTGCACTTGTTGCGCTTATCGTTTATCGTTAGCATTTTTCTGTGCTTTAAATTCTTAAGATCATAGATATTATATTTTACGCGCGCTATCTCATATATTTAATCCGCTTGAAAAAAGAAGATAAGAAAGTTTGCGCATCGCTGCGCCAATTTGAAATATAGGTACATCGTAAATGTTCCTTTTTATTGCCAATGGCCGTAATCATTATGCAATTGTAATGTAGCTTCCCCTGTTTGTATATAAACGCAGTGAATCGTGAAATAACTTTAAGACGATAATTTCGTTATAGGAGAAGGACTTCAAAATGCATTTGACAACAAATTTGTTCCAATCTGCGTGAAATGTTTCTTTCGCACCGCTGTATGCTATCCGTTATATCTTTTGACAGTTTCCAATAGTAAGATCAACTGAGTGGAGCCACGCAAACTGCATCAGCTTGTCGACCAGTCAAACGTCAACGCTATATATATGCGTTCTGATCCATATGTCGACGCGAAAATCCGTCGTTAGGTTGGAGCGATTGCAGGATGCTCGCACGGAAGTAGAGACGCGATGAATCGTCACGCATCGATCGAGCGAAAACAATAACGAAAAAATAAAAAAATTCGAAAACGACGGATACTCGGTCCAAGTTTTAACGCGACGCAGAGAGCTAGAGCGAGGGGAAAAAAAGAGAGGGGAGGGTAGAAGGGGTGGAGAAAAGAGAGAGAGATATATGCCCGTAGGAATTTGCATTTCGGAGCCAGTCGATTGCCTTCTCCTCGCCAAAAGTTTTCCGGGTATTTCGGGATTTGATTTAAACGCACGGTGGGTTTCGCTAAAAGCTCGAAATACAATACGCGCGTCGGAGATAGATTAGTTCAGTAAATGTCAACGCCGGATCTGCAAGAATTTGGAACGGATAGACGTGTCATGGACGTGAGCGCGAGTTGAGAAAAATAATATTTATCTTTGAGAGCCGAAATTTCGTTCCCTCCGACGACGCTACGAGAGTAGAATAATCGAATACGATCAACGAGTTTTGTTGAATATTTTCTTTATCGTAGGAAATATCTCCTTTTGTAATCATATTTCGGAGAGAGAGAGAGAATCGAGATTTTTACATATTTCTGTTGAAACGTACAATTTGTCTCGTATGCTTTACGCGAAAAATGTTTTTATATCTGTTTTAGTTTTAATCCTTAATTATTCAAATAAATTCAACTAAACTGTTTTATTTCTCCCTTTGTGAAACAAGAAAAATGAGAAGAAAGCTAGCGTGAAAATCTACTAATAAAAATTGTCATCTCCTTTATATTCAACTAAATGATAATAAATTCAAATTGTATATGCGATAAAGATATTATTTCATGTATTATGTGCATAATTGGCGTTATATTATTTTTAAATTTTTATTAATCTTAGGATACTTTAAACATATCTTACCCGCGCGAAACCAATAGGAATTATCTGCCGTGTGTTTGTGGGATTATATTGCAAATATCGAATTTGTCGTATATTGTAAATTGGAAGAAATCATAAATACAACCGTTTACAAATGAATCAATTAATCCTATTATCCGCAATTGCAGCTCATTATCGAGTTTGCTAGATATACATAACGCCTGGTTACGCATCCATAATTTTGCATAATCGAATGAACAATGAATGGATAGGAATATTTGGTGGTAAAATTCAAAAATATTTTAACTATTTTTGAATTTTCACTCTAATTCAACTGATCCCATAACAAATCAATAAAAGATAATTGACGGCTGTTCGCACCTGATTACTTTCTTAGTGTTTTCCTTTTTCCACATTACACCAATAAAATCAATTAAATCTGTCAATAAATTACTTATCGTATATTCGAAACAAATCATCTTTTTCTATTTCCGTTGAACCAATTTTTAATGAAAAATAAGCGTTTTATAAATCTCCCTAAATCAAAATAAAGGATCCTGCTAAAGAAGAATATACAAATTTTGCAAAGTAGCAAATGAGAAATAAATAACAAATCTTAGAGTCGTATCGTCGTCGTCCTTCTATTCTTTTCAAATTCTTTTATAGAACTCGCTCAATACTCGCGGCTAATCATGTGGCATTGATTATTAGTATACTACGATTGCGTGATATTTTTATGTGTTAATCATTTACTGTTAAACGATGTGAATTTTATAGTAAGATAAAGAAATAACGCGAAGATAGTACAATGTTGCACGATCCATTAGACGTCTGCGACGTCTCGCAAATTAATGCAACGAACGAATCTCAAACAGTGGAAGAAATTCGAAAATCGTACGGTCAATTTCACACGCCACCCGCAGCGACGATGTTATACCTGTTGCTCCGACTACGTACTTTCGTGCTATTTTCCGCACTTTAAATAACATAATCGCGCCGCGAGATATATCCTAAGTGAATTCAATGCATCGTTAAGCAAGCAATTTTCGTCGGTAAATAATAATTTGTAGCACCCACCACTTATCATTTCAATATTTCAAACGTACGAATCGCATGAGACTCCCACTTTCAAAGATAATCTCGACTAAATCGCTAATCACGAGACTTTGTATCACGAGAACTACACACTCAGAAAAAAATTTCTTTGAAATTGAACAAATTTTCTTTACATTTTCACCTTACTGGGCTTTTTATTTAATTTCAAAGAAATGATTTCTTTACCTCAACCAAAATTTTAATTGATT